TCATTTCTGGATGAATTTAGAGGATAAGAATTTGGGCGCATGTGGCCAGTAGCAAGATCTTACACTAGACAAACACACAAATATCATCTTGATAAGATAATGGCAACATGTGATGAGTTTGGTCCATGGCTGAACACCTACCATTCTTTATTATGGTACATGTCAGCATTCAACACTGCCATCAAGTGTGACCACATCAACAACAATTTGGCAGAGAGTTTCAACAACAAGGTGAAGGAGTTAAAAGATTTGCATGTGCATGGCATGGTTGACCAAATCAGGATCATGCTCATGTGGTTGTGGGAATTGAGAAGAAGGATAGGTGATTGTCTGCAAGGTGATAAGCTTCCAGCAGTGGTACAACAGATGGTCAATAGGAGCAGATGTCTTTCACATTTGTTTGTTGAAAAATATTCACCTTGGGGTGCTTAAGTTAGAGATAACAAAACTGGAAGGAGACATGTTGTTAACACTGAATTGCATGATTGCATTTGCCTCGAGTGGCAACACACTGGTAAACCATGTGAGCATGCCATAATTTTCTTAGCATCCCAACCAAAGATAAACATGCACCCATATTTGCACGAATATTATTCGGTGGAAAGATTCAAAGCTGCATATGCTACTCCAATTCCAGCACTTACAGATCAGTCTCAGTGGCCTGAAGTGAACATTGAATTTTCCATGTGTCCTCCCTTGACGAAAAGAAAGGCTGGCAGGCCTAAACAGAGTAGATTCAAGGCATGGTTTGAGAAAGGTGGGAGTAGTAAGAAGGGAAAGAAAGATGAAAAGCTAAAAAGGGCCCAAAAATCTAACAAAAACAGATGCAAGTTGTGCCAGGAACTTTGGCACAGAGTGGGATCTGCCAAATGCCGTTACACTCCTGATAAGCTAAAGTATGTTCTTGTTTATTTGTCTGTGTTTTGATTTGGTGCTTTTTTCCAATTACTATATCTATAACATTTTCCCAATGGCCAGGAGGAAGCGAGCAAGTCAGCCCCTTGTTGTTGAACAGTGTTGGCCAACAAAAAAAGCAAGAGTCAATGGCGGTAGAAAGAAGAGAAGTGTGCCTGAGCCTGAGCAGACTGAAGAAAATCCTGCTGCGGTCAACACTCAAACTGAAGAAACTAATGTGGAGATGCACACCGAAGAAACTGAAATTGCAGTCAACATTCAGAGTGAAGAAACTACTCTCGAGGTTAAAACTGAACCTGAGCGTGTCGATTTTCAGACTGAAGAAACCCATGTTGAGGTACACACCAAAGAAACTGAAACTGGTGTCAACATTGAGACTAAAGACACTGATCACGAGGGTGTTGGCGAGGTGTTGAAAAGACCAGTGAAGAAAACGAAGATGATCAGTGAACTTCTGTGTGTAGTAGAACCAAAAACAATAAATGCTAAGGCGAAGAAGGGCACACGACGTGGTAGGAAGAGGTAGAACAAAGAACAGTTTGAAAATTTGGGGCATGTAATAATATTTGTAACTTGGTGCGTACTGGTAGTCACTATGTATCCCCGTATTTCTATTCGAACTTGTTTGTTGGTACCTTGTCTAAACCAGCCAAATAAAATTCAAATTTGGGCTCAAAATTTGAATTAGGGATGGGGTATTGATGTTTTAGTGCTATCTAAAGTACCTCAACTGAAATATGTTTGCTTGCTGATCATTCCGAGCCCTTTTGGTAAATTGAACTCATAGTCATGAAAAGTGTGTTTCAAATGACCTCCAAAGGTAGGGTAAACGGCTTCATATTTAAGCAAGTTTCTTTGCACCTTGTCTAAACCAGCTAAATGATTTTTCTACACGTCTATTCTACCTATATAGTGTAAATCTAAAGTCTCACTATTTATTGAATTAATTTTCTATTATTTTCTTTTCTTTTAAAAAACAAGGTTTAATAGAAAATTATATATAAAACAAGTTTAAAACATGAAAATGAGAAAAGTAAGTTAAGATCTTTCTTAGTCAATCCAAAATGACGTTTTGGTGAGGTTTTCACACTTTTCATTTTCAAAACCCCACCTACTCTCGGGTGCCCACCACTCTTTCCCTTGAACTCCATACTACATTGTTTGAGGAATAACAATTTTTTGAAGGATTTTTCGGAAAAATGTATGTAAACCATATTTATATATTTTTCTCGTTACTATACGACATAATAAGACTATGTGCGCAAGTTTTATATATTTTTGATTTTTTTGAATTAGTTATGCTCAACCCTAATCAGTCAAAACCTCTCAAAACCCCTCAAAACCCCTCTCAAAACCCCTCAAAACCCCGCACACTACCTGGTCATCGATCGTTGTACGTGGACGGTTGTGGTCAGAAGCTAGGGTTAGCTACAGTGTGCAGCGATCTGCGTGAGACGCGCTGATTGGTTGACGCGGTGGGGTTTGGATCAGCCTCTCTCGTTGGGGCATCAGGACCGTTCATTTGAATCCAACGGCAAGAGTTGACGCGGTGCATGGATCAAGCCTACGCAGTGCCCTTTCCATCGTTGCATGCGTGCCCGTGCCTACCCGCAACATGCATGCCCACCCGCAGAACTGCGCCCGTGCGTTGCATGCATGCCCTCGACGTAGCCCTACTCCGCCACCCCTATCGACGCAGTAAGCTGTCGCATGCCTACCATGAGAACCGATGCAGCGTCGCATCAAAGCATGCACCCGGCCACAATGCACACCACAAGGATCCGGGTCTATTGCGGCAAAATCGTTCGTCGCAATACATGCCGACTTGTGGTGATAAGTACCTATTGCCACGCAACATCATTCATTGGCAGCCGTTGCGACTGGACACATGATAATATGTTATTGCCACAAAAAAGCATCCGTGGCAATAAAGTGTGCTATTGCAACAGCCATGTGGGAAGTTGCCACATGTTTTCCCATGGCAACACTCACCTGATGCCATAATTCGCTTTGTGGATATAACATGGGAAGTTGCCACATGTTTTCTCATGGCAACACTCACCTGATGCCATAATTCGCTTTGTGGATATAGCTTTAATGCAACATGTAACGAATCATGACCATTGATAGCTCGTGGCAATCGACATTTTGGCAACAACATATGCCAACGACGCTCATTTTGTGGCGCATGCTCTTTCGTGGCAACAGTCAATTGTGGCAATAGACTATGGCAACAATTTTTGTTTTCGTGGCATTAGGCGTTTTACTACGAACCGCTACACTTGTAGCATTAAATTATGGCAACAAATATTCCAGTCGTCGTAAAAGGAAATTGCAACATACTAGTTTTGGTGGTGATAAATAGGTTTCACATCGGGTGAAATGTTTGTAGGGAGAAACTATTGCGAGAATTTAAACTTCTCGTGGTGCTAACATGTGGCAACCAATAATGGGTTGTGGTAATAGCCTACTGCAACAATAAAAAAATACATGCATTCAGTTACAATATTCAAAACCATACATACAATATGTAGATTCATAAACTTCATAATTCTCATAGTAAATCTCTACCTAATAATAAAGCAAATTGAGTTTGTGTCGTCCGCCGTCGTCGTTTTTACAAAAAAATCCTTATAGTTTTTGGGAATTAAACCCGCAGTCCCTTTTTAAGTTGAAAAAACGTTTTGTTTACAAATTTTACCAGGAAAACCTTGTGGTTTCCTGTATTCAACCCGTGGTCCTTTTAATGTGAGAAAATCGCAAGGAAGACATGCGGATCTGGGCGCAGAGTCGAGGGATCTGGCGGCTGGTGCGGCGGCTTGCTCCGGTGGCCGCGGTGTCCTGCTCATCCAGAGAAACAGGGCATGAGGGAGAGAGGAAAGAGATGAAAAAGGAGAAGGAGCAGGGGCGTAAGGTGAGGGAGAGGGATCTGGCGGGTGGTGCGGGGGGCTTCGGTGGCGGCGGCGTCCTTCTCATCCAGAGAAATGGAGAGACAGGGCGTGAGGGAGATAGGAAAGAGAGGAAGAAAGGAGAAGGAGAGGGGGCGCAAGGTGAGGGAGATGGTCGCCGGCGATGGAGCCTCCGGTGACCGGCCGGCGGCAGGCCCGATGGTGTCTGGAGTTTTGGACACCTGCGCGAGCTACCCTGCTGCTGCTAATTCTTCTCTCCCCACGCCTCTGCTGCTGCTCCTTCTACTCCTCAGATGCCCATGCTTGCTCTGAAACAATCATTGCTTTTACAGAACAATGTAAAATATGTTACGCAGAGGAACTATGTTAGCTGAAGTGGTTGCTAAGTTGTTTCAACAAATGAAGATGAGGTTTGATGCTTAATTGTGCTTGCAGGACTGAAGGGCATGATTTCTGGACCACAGATGATGCATTTTATTGGCAGGCACAATCAAGGGCCCATCATCTTTCTGCTATAGGTTCAACACAAACAACAGCTATCTTGTATTTACAATCTACCACTTTTAGCAACTAATTTTTGGCTGAATTAAAGTTTTTGGATGGTTACTGTCCCAGGAGCGACTGAACAATTGCAAAAATCTAAGCAAGAAGAAGATAGTTGACCCCACGGACTGCCCCATGTGCATGCAGGCATCCGAAGACTGCACTCATCTGTTCTTGTTCTGCCCCAATGTTAGACCGATCTGGACAGCCACTGGTATCAACCACAAATGCAGAGACATCAAAGATGTTTGGGTGTTTAATCCCCCAACTCCACTTCCAGCTTCTCTACAAACTTTCATGACGCTGTTGGTTCTTTGGAAAATCTTGGACTCCAGAAATGCATGGGTTTCAGGAAAAATCGACTCTCACCAGTCGATGTACTAAAAAGATGTTGGTCTTTGGCCTGATTTCTTCTCCTCAAGGTAAACGATTGTCCTGTAATACCCCTATTTCTCCTTAAGTGAAAATTCAGGTGGGGAAGCCCCCATCCCCCCTCCTACATCACCTAGCCTGGTATCGTAACAAGTTTTATTTTGAATTCCTGGAACATCTAGAAAATTTTCACTAAGTGCCCTCACAAATCTTATAAGTAAATGATATTCTCTATGAATTTTTATTTTACAAGCTGCAACTATGTTACGATTTTCTCCCCTGCCTGCAAGTTGGTACAGAGCCGAAACCCAACTGTCTTCCAATGGAGGTTTGTGCAAATGGAGGCCAAGTTGCTGTTGTGGTGGTATGGTTGGTAGGTTATGGTTTCACGTTCCGCTGCAGATTAAGAAGGCTCTCAAGGGTCTGAGAGTTGAGGTCTCCCACCGAGGACAGGTGCGCAGGAAGTACCGCATCAATGGCTTGACAAAGCAGTCTAGCAGAGATTTGAGGTTCAAATTATCGACCGGCGAAACCAAGACTGTGAGGGACTACTTTCGAGAAACCTGCAAGCTGCAACTAAGTTACGATTTTCTCCCCCGCCTGCAAGTTGGTACAGAGCAGAAACCCAACTATCTTCCAATGGAGGTTTGTGCATTGGAGGCCAAGTTGCTGCTGTGGTGGTATGGCAAGACTGTGAACTCAACTCATCGGCTGTGGCAAAATGATCTCCCTACAAGTACTAACTAATTTGCATATATGCTCTGGTTCTCATGTTACTGTATGAATTAGGTGCCTCCAAATAAATTCTCAAAAAATAGAAGTTCTAAAAATAAGTTAGTTCGGATTCAGCACGCGGGTCTTGTTGCAATTGCTTGCGTCAATTCTAGCTCATTTCTTTGTATTCTCTTAGTTAGTTCATTATTCAGGCTCTGCTACTTGTCATCATTTATTATTTCTTCACATGCATTATTCTGAACCTTGAGTCCATCTTCACATGCATTTGTTGTTTTGATATATCATAAGTTTGAGTCCAGCTCTTCGGTTGTTTTCTGAACCTTGATATATATTACCTGATTGGTACATTTGCTCGATGGAGGACCTACCGGAGGCTCTGGTGACAGAGATTCTCAAGAGGATCACCAAACTCTCTTTCCCTTGTGTCAAAGCAGCTCTACAAAATAGAGGGGAATCAAAGGGGTGCTATCCATGTTGGTTCCGATCTTTGCACTGCTAGAAAACCACTGACATCATTGTGCACCTGGTTCCCGAATTTACGGAAATTTGAAATCAATTACTCTCTGGCTGGATACCAGAGTTGTGCAAATGGAAGCCAAGTTTCTGCTGTGGTGGTATGGTAACTGGTAAGGTTGAACTCAACCCATCGGCTGTGGCAAAATGATCTCCCTACAAGTACTGACTAATTTGCATACATACTCTGGTTCTCATGTTACTGTATGAATTAAGTGTCTCCAAATAAGTTCTCAAAAAAATAAAAAATAAAAATAAGTTGGTTCAGAATCAGCACGTGGCTCTTGTTGCAATTGCTTGCATCAATTCTAGCTCATTTCTTTGTATTCTCTTAGTTAGTTCATTATTCAGGCTCTACTACTTATCATCATTTTTGGCCCAGGAAAACAGTGTCATGATTTATAAACTAAATGAAAATATTATCCTCAGCTGAGTGTCTTTGCTAAGGGTCAATTTCTTTAGGAGCAGGCAAAACCGCCTCGATGCAGAGAGATCTGCCATACATGCACCGTTGTCTCGAAACACTTTACTTCATTGTGTGCTTTACTGACTGAATAACTACTTCTGATTCTTGTCAAAGGTTGAAGTTGTGAAGAAGATAATCAAGTACGTATGATGCAGTTTAGGAGAGTTGTCAAAGAGCACGGTTAGTTTGTTCTGTTATAGTACTAAATTCGTAGATGGTGGTGTAGCTGTACTGTTATGTCGTGTTCAGCAGCGATAAGACCATTGCTCTTCATGTTTTTAGTTTAATCTGTACTAATTCAGAAAGATTAGTCACATATTGGTCGTTGTTAGACACGTGAAGTTAATGGGAGAGGAAGGAGCATGAGTGGTCTTTTCTTTTCGTTTCACAAATTAGCCACAAGTTAAATGCAGGGTGAGAGCATGTGCAGATTAATTTTTTACCGACTGGAACAGGCTATCAAAGATTGTTCTATCCGTCTTGAAAAAATGTGTTCAAAGTGAATTCTTTCAAGAGCTGATCCTATTTATTAACTTATGTAAGTCCTTAGATTCTATGGCCGCAATCCAGAAGCTTTATGAGATTTGCCTAGTATATTATCGTCATCTCCTGAAGCCGTCGAAAATGTTTGTGTCGTATTAGTTAAGAACTACATGGAGAATTGACACTAACCAAACTAAATGCCTTACTATTGATTACCACATATTGTATTGTGAGCATGGGATGTATTTCTATGCTTGGAGAAAAACACATTATTATTAATTAGATTATATTTCGTTATTGGATGTGTTACTATACTATCTTGAATAAACAGAAACTTCATATATAATTACCCGAGCAGGTGCGCCACATTGTTCTTTTTATTTTATTTTGTAGTAACAGAAGGGCAATGGCACTCACATTTGAATATCCACATCGTCGACTGGCGGGCCGAAGGAGGGCACCCTAGAGCGGATGCCCACTCAACCGGGCCTTGGCAAGGACACCTGCCTCATGCCGCTGCACGCTCATGTGCTCTCCTATTCTGAATCGTTGGGCAGAGGAGGAGTAGGAGGCCATGGGTGGCATTGGGTCTGACCAATGGCTTGAGGACCTTCTTGACAACAAGACTACCATGCCATGCTCTCGTGTTGGGTCATCACGGTGACCATGGACAGTCGGGCTTCATGGTGGGGCTGGGATGGACCCCTGGTAGGATCGTAGGCAATGTCGCTTGCTCTGCCACGTCATTATACGCGATCCAGGGCAAGAGGATATCAACCAGGACACAGTTGTATCCCCATTGCAACGCAGAGGTTTCATATTACAAAAGATATTATTCTCTAATATGAATCTGTAAGAAAAGATATGTCATACATTTGTGCAAATTGGTAATGTAAGCTAATCTCAAAACTTTATTTCAAGATTGATTACTCGGTGGTGCTAACTTCCATTTTCTCAAAACAGGATGTGCATTCTATTTCTGAAAAAAGAAGCTTCTATGTTGGCTGGCATCCCTGGTGGTAGTTTAAGATATCTAGCAAATGAAAGGGCGCCTCATAATTCATTCGATATAGACCAGTAGGTCGATTACATATAGTTGGTTGTAAATGACTTTCAGTTTCTAGCTTAAATATAGTTTTAGATATCTAGATATGTACTCTTCAACAGTATGATGTGCTTGATGGTGGCCCTATGTGTTGGTTGAAATTATCACGTTCTTTACGAGCAATTGCAGTGCTCTTATTATTTTATTTCCACAAATATCATCACATTTTCCCTCAATCTTAAGATATGAACTATGCTGCTCCTCCTGGCCTGTGTGTTGCTTTCGCTGGATGATGCTCTGTTTTATGTTTGTTTGGACAAGGTCCAAGACCTGGCTGATGTACAGTTTTGACATACAATGATCTGCATATGTATGTCTTTATTTGGGTTATAGACAGGATACAAATATTGTATGTCAGTGTGGAACACCGTACGCCTTTTAACTCATTCTAGGTGTTCATTCAATCTGAATTGTGCTGTTTTATTTAGCCTATGCTAGCTTGTGATTTCTTGTGCTGCAAGTTGTAGTTAATTTTCCGTAACTGAAGTCTTTGATCCTGCAGTTGGGTAATGCACTTGTGATCATTTTTCTTACTCTGCTGTCAGTATCACTGGTCTTGTGGTTCAGATTTTGTCAATATCAAAATCTAGGTACTTACCAGCAAAGGAGTTATTGATCTATTTACTTAGTCAAGTTCATTTCTGTTATGTTCTTCAGTCAAGCTTCGGATTCTAGCCCTGATTAAATGGCAATGATATTCTCCAAAACCTACTAAGGTCAGAAATCCTGCCACCCAACCGAATGGTTTGCCAACTGCTGTGAGCATTGCTCAGTGTGTGTCAGCCATTCATTAGCATTGGAATTTGCCGGAGCGGCCCGATGCAGCGGCTGCCATGGACGGAGGCCTTGCGCTTGGCCAGCACGCCGATGCAGAGGAGGCGCGAGGGAGACGAGAGGAGCACGGGGAAGAAGGAGGAGGCGGTGGAGAAGGGTTCATCACCGGCGTGGCAGCGCTCTCCGGTCGGAGTGGCGGCCGAGGGCCGCGAGGCTGGCGGGATCTCGCAACGACAGTGTCTCCTTTTTTTGAGAGCGTGCGTGTTTTTGTGTAGGCCGAGTCGTTTGGGCCAAGCCCAAAAAGTGCCAAAAACAATTGCAGATAAAATATATTTTTCAAAAAACAAAAATTCTGAAAAAAGCATTTTTCAGAAAAAAGTTCTCAAAAACATTCTTACCCCTAAAATAACATTCTTTTCAAGAAAAACATGTGTTCAAAAAATATTCTTTTTTAGGGAAATGTTCAAATTTCATAAAAACGTTAACTCTTCTTAAAAAAGTATTACAATTTTTATGTAAACATTAACTTTAAAAAATAAGAAAATTTTAACATTTAACCTTATCATCAACGTTTATTAAAATTGGATAAAATAGTTGGTGCACAATGGCACATGAAGCAGGCTGCACAAAAAAAATGCGGATTATATTTTTCAAAAAATAAAACATTATTAAAATTATTTTATACAGAAGTATGCTCTTAACCCTAAAAAAACAAAACATTCTTACCCCTAAAATATCATTATTTTCAAGAAAAACATGTGTTAAAAAATGTTTTTTTTCAGAGAAATGTTCAAAATTCATAAAAATGTTAACTATTCTTAAAAACTATTCTAATTTTTATGTAAACGTTAAATTTTATTTTAAAAAAAGAAAATTTTAACCTTTAACCTTATCATTGACGTTTATTACAATTGAATATAAAAGATGGTGCATAATGTCACATGAAGCAGGTTGTGCCTCTTTTTTCGCCCAGTGCAACGCACGGGCATTTGTCCTAGTATCCACCAATATTGACAGTATAAATGATGAAACAAGAATAACATGATCCAACACATGAATAATCCCAGTTGATGAAGAAGCATGCCGAATGCACATCATTGAATAATTAACCAAAAGTCAGTGTACTCGCGGAAATATATTGGGACTCTGTGTTAGACCATGTTTCATTCTTCGTGTGGGTGAGTTCCCACAGAGCAATACAATCCGACTCTTCTCAAGTTTCCAAGTTTCTCTGCAAGTAATATAGCAATGAAATGATTGAAACATGAAACCATAGTTAGCAGCGAGGCATACATATTTAGTTAGACTCGTACCTTCTCAAAACTTCGTTGCAAATAAGATTTTGATCCAATTCTATCTTTTGTCTTCAGTTTCTTACGGGTATCGGTGTTCTTTTGGCTGTGTTCCTATCAAGTCATTGAAACCAAATATAACCAGTCAGACAAGCGATTTCATCTTAACACATAGTAGAGAAAGAGTGATCTTAGAGATAACCTAAAATTTTGAATCAGTGCCAAAGTACTCAATCATCCATTCTCACTCTTCTGGTTGTAAATCTTCCGGCAGATTAGCCTATCTAGTTGCATTTGTTTTGTATGCCTTGTAAGTGGAGCTTAGAGTTGATTGCCAGCCTCTATATCGCTCTTTCACAATTTTGATAACTTTTTCATC